ATTTTCAGAACCATAAAGACAGCAATAGGTGACCACTCAGAGGACAATGGAATGAGTCTTTCCTGTGGACCCTGAGGGAAACATTTTCTGCAGGTAAATTTATACTGTCCCATTCTGACCTGGGACACCTGAAGACATGGGACATGCATTGAATGACAGAGTAGCCCTCCCTTCAGCTGTGCCCAGCCTGCCCAGCCTGCCCAGCCCTGCTGATTTACATGTGCCCACAGCACAGCCCCCTGCCCTGAGGACTTCTTAAGAGGCTGCTCACACCCTGTGCAGGAGTCAGTCCCAGTCAGGACACAGCATGGCCATGAGGGCCCCTGCTCAGCTCTTGGGGCTCCTGCTTCTCTGCCTCTCGGGTAAGAAAAGACATCACTGAGAATGTACTCAATCACTGAGGTCAGTGCAACGTGTCTCTGCCCAGAAGTCCTCATAAGGCATGTCTAATTGTATGCATCTTTGTTTTATTTTTTTGTTTCCAATATCAGGTGCCAGATGTGACATCCAGATGACTCAATCTCCATCCTCCCTATCTAAATCTGTAGGAGACAGAGTCACCATCACTTGCTGGGCAAGTCAGGGCATTAGCAATAATTTACACTGGTACCAGCAGAAGCCAGGGCAAGCTCTTAAGTTCCTCATTCATTGGGCAACTAGTATGGGATATGGGGTCCCATCAAGGTTCAGCGGCAGTGGATATGTCAAAGAATTCACTCTAACCATCAGCAGCCTGGAGCCTGAAGATGTTGCCACTTATTACTGTGTACAAGGCTACAGTTCCCCTCCCACAGTGATACAGACCATGCCGAAAACCTCCCAGGGAGCAGAAGTGTGAGGCTGGGCTACCCCAGCTGCTCCTCCTGCTGCCTCCACCTGCTGAGGGCACTGCTCAGAGGCAGCTGGGCTCTGAAGGGCACTGGGAGGTTTTGGTAGAAGGAACTAGGAGCTCTTCTGAAGCCTCACTCTTTCCTCTGCTCAGCACTATCAGGCTGGCATGGAAATGCATCATCTTCTTTAATAAAGGACATGGATCACTACAAAGGAGGACATGAGTTATGACATTGGTTTAGATTCATGAAGCACAGATGAAGTTGCTATAAATATTCCAAGCAGAAATTTTTTTTTTAAATAAACATAATGAGAATCTAAGTGACAGTTTCCTGTATTTTTGGATTCAACTAATAATTGTATGCATTTGTGGGTTGCAATGTGAGGTTTCTATA